GCGCGAAACAAGAGTGCAAGGCGGCGAGGACACTGGGGAGGAGGTCGGGATGATGGACGTCTACTCTGAGATTGATGCCATGATGACCAAGATGAATGTTGGCATGTACAAGATCAAGGCTTGCAAGCGCAAGTATGCATTCGAACTGCCAGGAATCCCCAAAGAAGCACAGTATCTCAAGTGCCTCTACCCGTATACAAGTAAGTCACCAGTATGAAGGCTTTGGCGAACGTTGGCTGACTAGAGGGAAAAAAGAGCCCGTGATCGATGGATCCGCTACTGGAGAGACCTTTTCGCGCGTTTTCGGCACCAACACCGCTTTGTTTGAACAATTCGTTCTCTGGAAAAACATTATGGGACCATGCTGGCTCAAGATCAACGACGCCGACTTTGGCGCCCTCAAGAATGCCTCTCACTGCAAGCTTGAGGTCTTAGTCGAGCACCCAAATATGGTCGCCCCGCTGAGTGACTCCGATAACCTTGATACGCCTCCCCTGACATTGATGGCCTTGTCCTTGCGTACCGCATTCAATGCTAAAGCCAACAAGCCCGAGATCCTCGCCATCAGCGCCAGGATTTACGAGAAGCTGTCATTAAATGACACCACTCCCGCCGAAAAGCTTCCCTGCCGAACCTTCACACTTATTCGGCCGTACGGCACGTCGTTCCCGCTTGGGTTCGAGACAATGGCCAAAGAGCGCAAGAGAGGCCTTCTCAAGACGTTCCGTCAAGAATCTGAAATCCTTCAGTTTTTCCTAGCGCAGCTCGATGTTGTTGATCCTGACGTTATCTTGGGACATCAATTAGAAGGCGTCGACTACAGTGTGCTACTCAACCGTCTACACGAGAAGAAGACACACCAGTGGTCTCGCCTCGGTCGTCTCAAGCGGTCACAATGGCCAGCTTCTATGAACAAGGTCGGCGGCAATGTATTCGCTGAAAGGCAAATCATGTCTGGTCGTCTTCTCTGTGATCTAGCCAACGACGCCGGAAAATCTGCCATGTATAAGTGCCAGTCTTGGAGTTTGACAGAGATGTGCAGCCTCTACCTATCGGGCAACAACCGCCGTCAAGACATTGATAATGAAGCGGCTCTCAAGGGCTGGGCTACTCAAAACAAGGATGGCATGATGAACTACATCACTCACATGGAGACCGACACACATTTCATCACTGCCCTTGCCCTCCAAGTCCAGCTTCTGCCTCTGACCAAAGTCCTCACCAACTTGGCTGGTAACTCCTGGGCGAGAACTCTCACAGGTACTCGTGCCGAGCGGAATGAGTACATTTTGCTGCATGAGTTTCACCGCAATAAGTACATCTGTCCCGACAAGCAAACTTTCCGGGGCAGAATGGCCCAAGAGGATAATCAAGAAGAGGAAGGCGAAGGCAAGAAGAAGGACAAGTACAAGGGAGGTCTCGTCTTTGAGCCCGAAAAGGGTCTGTACGACAAGTTCGTTCTCGTCATGGACTTTAACTCCCTGTATCCCTCTATCATTCAGGAGTTTAACATTTGCTTCACGACTGTCAACAGATCAGCAATGGTAAGCTAACCACATCTTCTGGAAAGGCGACAATATCTAATCATTTCTTAGAACGAGGACGAGGACGCTGTGCCCGAGGTTCCCAAGGACCAGGACCAGGGCATTCTGCCCAGACTAATTGCCACTCTTGTCAGTCGAAGAAGACAAGTCAAGGCTCTCATGAAGGACAAGACCGCCACTACGGAGCAGCTTGCCACCTGGGATATCAAACAGCTTGCGTTGAAGCTCACAGCCAATTCCATGTACGGATGCTTGGGCTACACCAAGTCTCGTTTCTACGCCCGTCCGCTCGCAGTCTTGACCACGTACAAGGGTCGTGAGATCTTGCGGAGCACCAAGGAGCTTGCTGAAAGCAAGGCACTTCAGGTCATCTACGGAGACACTGATTCCGTCATGATCAATGCTAATGTCGAAAATGTGGCGGACGCGTTCAAGGTGGGCCAGGAGTTCAAGAAGGCAGTCAACGAGCGATACAGACTTCTTGAGATCGACATTGACAACGTCTTCCGCCGTATCTTGCTACAAGCCAAGAAGAAGTACGCCGCCATCAACTTGGTTGAAAAAGACGGCAAGTTCATCGAAAAGATGGAGGTCAAGGGTCTAGACATGAAGCGTCGCGAGTACTGCACTTTGTCCAAGGAAATCTCCAGCAAGATTCTTAACGAGATTCTTTCCGGTGATGAGACAGAGGTGTCTATTTCCCGTATCCATGAGTACCTGAGAGAGATCTCTGGCAAGATGCGCGAGCAGTCCGTCCCTCCCCAAAAGTACATCATCTTCACCCAACTCGGCAAGGCTCCTACAGAGTACCCCAACGCAGACTCGATGCCCCAGGTTCAGGTAGCGCTTCGGGAGATTGCTCGAGGAAAGACAGTTCGCCGTGGTGACGTTGTTTCGTACATCATCACCGGTGATCCTCAGAGTTCCGATCCTGCCCCGAAGAGAGCATACCTTCCCGCCGATGTCATGAAGGCCGACTCTGGCCTCTCGCCTGACGTCGAATGGTATATGGGCAAGCAGATCTTCCCCCCTGTCGAGCGTCTATGCGCAAACATTGTGGGCACGTCAAGCTCTCAACTTGCAGAGTGCCTCGGGTTAGATATTCGCAGGTACAAGTCGGTGCAGGATGGTCATCAAAGCTCTAGCAACGACATGGAGATCCATCCCCTTGAGTCGCAGATCCCCGACGACGTGCGGTTTGCCGAGTGTGCGCGTTTGTCTCTGCGCTGCCGCACCTGCAAAAAATCGTTTGTGTTTGAGGGTCTCCTCGCCCAGCCTGACCGTGTGTCGGCTTCGGGTTTGCTCTGCGATTCGTGCGACGCAACCATTCCGATTATGTCCATCGTGGCTCAAGTCGAACATGCCCTTCGCACGCAGACTGCTCGCTACTACGAGGGCTGGCTCGTGTGCGACGACACGGCTTGTGGCATCCGCACTCGTCAGATGAACGTTTACGGCACCCGCTGTCTGGGACCCAAAGGCCTTGCGCGGGACTGTCTCGGCCGCATGCGCTACGAGTTTACCGAGAAGGCAATTTACAACCAACTGGTGTACTTTGCCAGCCTGTGGGACGTCGAAAAGACCAAGGCCTCGGCCGAGAGTGGGAACGACCTCTCCCGCGAGGAAAAGGACAAGATATTCGCACTTGCCGAGCATAACCGCGTCCGGTTTGACACCGTCAAGGGCGTGGTTGACAAATATCTCGACAAGTGCGGCAGGCAATGGGTCGCCATGGACACTCTGTTCGCGAAGCTGGGATTCAACAAACCTCTTCTTACCGCCGCATAAGCCAGACAACGAACCGCGAAATGCAATGATGATGAACCGGACGGGATCACTTTAGAATGAAGCTTGGTTTGGACAGTAGGACGAGGTTTCGGGGAGGGGAGTTTGTTTGGCTTTCTGTATACATTGCTCTCTCCTGCCTGGCTCAACAGTGGCGGGTTTTCAGATTGTCGAGCCTGGCGTTTTTGGCAGATTCAAATTTGGGCAGTTGGGCACGTATCGATTCGATGAACGCATGGCATTGGTCTTGGTATTGCAAGAAGGCCGATTTTAATTTACATCAGTTGTGTCTACTCAAGTAGAGCCTTTCGAGCTTCCGTTTGCATGTTGTGTTCCCTCTCACTTCGTTCTACAGTTAGTACTACCATATCAACATACTGCCATTACTAGGCTCGTCAGCCCCTCTCTTTACATCCTCGACACCTCCTCGTCTGTCGATGGTTGGGAGGCCAACGACGGCGCAGCATGAGGGGAGGGGGGGCAGGGTACATCAGGGCTGGCAGGGGTCTGTCGACAAATGAGGCTATTTTCGAAGGATAAAAAGCCCTCATGCACGACGCCACCCACATTCACACATGCGTTCACACGCCATAAAGACAGGGCTATCAGTAGTCAGTAGACCGCAAGGCAAATACGACACATGGGGGGATTGTATGAACTGTGTGGTCTTTTTTTTTTGCTGGTCCACTGGCTGGCTCTTGCCGAATTAAATGTACAAAGTCAGAAGAAGTATTAGGTCCTCCGCCCGGTCCGATTAATCCCGCCGATGTCTCATCTTTTTTGCCCTATTCATCCTGGCTCGAACCCAGGAGCCAAGCTGCCGTTGGCGACCGGCAACAAGGTCCTGACGTCCGTACTTGGAACTGGGCCAACCTCTTTTTAGAGAGGGTGTTCCGTGACCAGACAGTCTCATTGCCCTCCCAAAACCGGGGGGGGGGGGGGGAAACCTCACTTCCTTTTCCCCCAAACTTGTTTCCATGCAAAGTGTTGTTGGGTCTCCGCTGTGAGAAACCAGCCAGTGGACAAGCCAATGCCAAAAGCAAAAGTAAAATAGAAAAAGACGAAACCCTCTTCTGAACATTCCCAGAATCCCCTTTTCTGCATAACAGGAAATCACGACCTGGCCGAAGCTCCCCATTGTATGCTTTTGTTGAGTGCCCTCATATCCGCCTGGAAGGTCAGCGTGCTGGCCAGGTCATACACACATGAGCTCTCCATTGCTGGATGGACCCTCCCGAGGTCGTCTTCTTTCATTCGTGCATCTGGCATTTCCATTCGCCCATGTCCCATCCCTCCAAACATAGCCAGGCACAATAAAGATGACCCATAAAGCGTCGTGAACTCGTATTAGAAAGGAATAGAAACACATGTTGAGAAACGCATCGGGGGATGCGTTGTGGAGTTGGGGAGGGGTAGGATGTAGGAAAACGGACGTCTGTGGTCCGAAATTGAGAAAACCTCTCTTCCTTACGAGAGGTTCTCTCGGTTGCGAATCGTCTATGTCGGTATTCTTCTCGAGGTATCATGGTCCGCAGTAGTAAAGATCAGGGTAACTTTTGAAACACACGAACTGTGAAAACCCTTGTGTAAATGCACCAAAACAACCCCCGCCCCTGTCTATTTGCTGAAATGCAACGACTCATTGGAAAAGGAAATACTCAGGGTCTCTCCTCATTTGTCTCCGCCGGCAGCGGAGCTGTCAGGAACGGCCTTGGACAGTGCAGGCGATGCCGCAGTCGAGGGAGGAGAGGCTGGGTTTTCGCTGTCCAAATTGGCGAGTGCGCTATTGACTAGTGAGATGTTGACCAGAAGAAAAAAGGATCATGATTGTTATCTTACCTGAAAGCGTTGGTGTGCTGAGTGGTAGGCGGTGTGCCGGTGCGGGAAGAAGCACCAGAGTCCTCGCCAGGGCGGCCGAGGGAGCCGCCAGGGCCGAGTCGGCGGCCGCTGTTGCTGCGCGAGGCAAACATGGACGTAGGTCCAAGAGTGACATTGCCGCTGGCGGCTCTGCTGGTAGAACCCTTCAGGCGGCGCAGGTCATCCATACCAACCTGGTTGGAAGCAGCTTGCATGTAGCCAGACGAAAAGTTGCGGGAATCGCCACGACCAAGGTTGGGACGACCGCCAGGCCCCCCACGCTGGCTGCCGCTGCGCTGGTTCTCCTGAGCCTTCTGGATGGCAGCAGCCTCAGCCTACATTTTTGTTAGCCTCCGTTTGAGCATTTCGGGAATTACTGATGTTCTTACCTCGGCACGGATCTCCTCCAGAGTCTTTGGGCCCTTGTTGGCCTCCTTGGAAGACCAACCAGACCTACGGAGGTCAATGACGTCCATGAGCATGAACTTCAATCTGCTGGCGAGCTCGGGCATGTCGACCATGTGCTGAATGCGTTCGAAGTAGGCATTCATCAGCTGCTTGCCCTTGTCTGATGCATCGAGGTTGCCGCCAATTGTTCTCAGCAGCTTGGAAAGAGACTCAATCTCTGCTTCGTCGGGCACGCCCTCGTAGTCAACCAACTTGCGTACACACTCATGCATGATACGTTCAGTCAGCATGCCGAGCTTGTATAGCTCACCAATGAACTGAACCAGACCAAGACCACGACGCTTGGCGGCAGCAGCAATGTAATATTCGTCGGACAGCATGACAGCCTCTCCGGTAGCCTTGTCCTTCTCGCCTTCCTTGAGCTCTGGCAAGTTGACCTTCCAACCACGCTCGAACTCTTCTTGACAGCGGTTGAGCAGGTACTTGCGGAACAGAGCACCGCCACTAACAACAACACCATTCTTGTCCTTGATGTTCTCGTCGCGAATCTCGGCGCTCATTGTGTCAAGCATGCGCTTGCAGAACTTGGCGTACATTGAGGCCCAGTGAGCTTCATCAGTCGCCTTCTCAAAGGTGAGCTGGATAACCTGGCGAAGGGTGCGGCCGTCAGACTCGTCCTTGGACTGGCCCGCAATGGCGAGGATCTGGTCGGCAATCTTGTCGAACTTCTCGGGGGTCATCTTGTTGAGCGCGGCCTTGACCTTACGTTGGACCATTTCGGGATCCATGTGGTCTGCAGCAGCACCGCTACCGGCGGCACCACCCTTTCCAATGCTGGTAGGCTTCCAACCGGTAGCGGAGACCGCGATAGGCTTGACTTCCATGCCCTGCGTAAGAGGCATGGTCTTAGCTGCCTGCGCCTCCTTGACGTTGAAGTCGTTGCGTCTACTACCACCTCCTCTTTGAGAACGAGTTCTAGGCGAGTTGGGTCCCATGTTGGAGGAGGAAGGCGTGCGAGCCATCTGTCCAGCGACAGGGAAGGAGGGACGGAAGTTGCCCATACCACCCATGCCGCCTGCGCTCATAGCAGCATTGGACATGGCGAAGCGTTCAGCAGAAGTTGTGCCTCTGACGTTGGGGTTCATGGGGCCGCCAGGGGCGCCGAACTTGCCCATCACTCCGGCAGCAGAGCCGCGTTGAGAGTTTCCGCGGCCAGATCCAGCACGGGGAGTAGAAGCGGAACGGGAGCCATCGTTGTCACCAATCAAAGACTTGACCTGTTGATGGAATTCCATGGAAGGCTGCTCGGTAAAGACCTTCTGGAACTGGAGCAAGAACTGAGCGTCGTACTTGAAGGTCTTGCCCTTCTTGGCGACAGCGGCGTTGAGTGCGGGGTTGGGGGAGCTGATTCCCGCAGGGTAGGTATCCTGGTTGATAACTTGCAAGAAGCGGGCAGACTTGAGTGACTGGAGAGCGGCGCTGGGCTGAGGCGGCTCGACAGGCTTGGTGTTGAGGGGGGCGAGGTTGAGAGGGGAAGGCTTGGCTCCACGCTTCTCGGTAGGAGTGGCCTTGGGCGCAGACGCCTCAGTAGGAGTGGAAGCCTTTGAATCGCCACCAATGCTCAGGGTAGAGAGCTTGTCGGCGACGTCGCCAACCTTGGCAGGCTCGTCGGGAAGGTCTCCTGACTTACTCTTCGCAAGAAGCTCGGCAACAGAGGGGGCAGAGGAGGCACCCTGGGCACGCTTCCTCTCCTTCTCCTCCTCAAGACGCTCCATCTCACGTTCAGCCTCGCGGAGCTTGCGATCTTCGTCGGCAGCGTTGGCCTTCTTCTTCTCCTCCTCGGCCTTCTTCGCAGCCTCCTTTTCGATGGCCTTCTTCGCGTTGTATTCCGCAGCCTCCTTCTCGCGACGAGCATCCTCTTCTTCCATCTCCCTGATCATGCGTTCCATTCGTTCGTCCTCGGTTTCGGCCTCAGCGACAGGTTCGGCGGGCTTCTCAGCCTCTGCCTTAGCCTTAGCCTCAGCTTCGGCCTTGGCGTCAGCTTCAGCCTTGGCCTTCTCTTCTTCCTGAGCCTTACGCTTGGCCTCGGCAGCTTCTTCCTCGGCCTTGCGAGCCTCCTCCTTGGCCTTCTCCTCAGCTTCAGCCTTGGCCTTAGCTTCGGCAGTCTTCTTCTCCTCCTCGGCAGCCTTCGCCTTGGCCTCGGCCTCTTCCTTAGCCTTATCCTCGCCACCCTTGGTGGCTTGCTGGATCTTGGCTCTAAGCTCGTCCTGGATCTCGCGAGCAGTCTTCGGGGTGGCTTGGCTATCGTTACGGACATGGGATGGCGTCGCTGACTTCGGTGGAGGGGTAGGGGTAGAAGTCACAATCGGGGGAGTCTTGGATTGCTGAATGCTTGGAGCAGGAGAAGACGGGGTCTTCATGCTCTTGAAGTCAACAGCCTCACCCGCAGCATTCTTGATGACGATGGCCGCGCTCTTCTTGGGGCGAACAAAGTTGTTACCGACAACCATTGGGGTCTTAACCTGAGCATTTTGAGGCTGGGGTGTACCAGAGACAACAGGCGCGGCCGGTTGACCAGTGCTTGAAGACGGCCGTTCCGAGTGCGAAGATGTACGTGACATGGCAGTCGGAGCAGGCTGGTGGAAAGGGGGAGGCACAAACCCAGGCTGGAAGGCCGGGGGAGCGCCGGGGGGGGAGGGCATGTACCCCATCTGGTTGTAGTAAATGGGTCTGCCGTAGTTGTCGAACTGGCCCTGAGGGGGAGGGTATCCGTACTGTTGCTGTTTCGCTTGAGTTAGCAATCTCTCGTAATTACCAGTTTCGGGCGAAAGATCAAGAGGAACTGGGGGGAGCGCAAGGAAAGATTCATCAGGCGCCATCGGAAGCTGATCAGCGAAGTTAAATTCGCCATGCTCTGGGAAGTAGCCCGGCTGGAACTCGTTGTGCGGCATGTTGCCCAGATGATATCGCTCATGATCAGTCACCCAGATTTGCTCTTCACGCCGACTGTGGCGTCGAGGTCTGTTGACATTCAATTGCGACTCATGTGACAAGTCTGCATGCCGAGACTTCTGGGACGACTTATCCCAGTCACGACGCTGATTCTTCCGCTTATTCTTGGTAGATAAAGTAGACGAATTGAAAGACGGAACATAAACATCTGGAAAGGAGGAGGGGTGCTGTACTTGTTGGGGCGCCATGTTGGGTGGCGGGTAATAGTGCTGAGGCGGAGTGGCCATAGGCATCGGGTGCATCTGAGCCGGAGCCATGTTCGGGGTTCCTGGCTGGGACTGGGCCAGAGCCGGGCTTCGGGTCGGCTGAGGCGAGTTCGGGTAAGGCATCGTACGTCCGGGATGGAAGGAAGGGGGCATGGCACCGCGTCCGCGACCGTTGCCGTACTGCTGGCCAGGCGGGAAACCCATGTTGGCATTGTAGGGAGGGTGCTGCGGGTTGAAGCCACGGCCTCGGCCGCCCTGAGGCTGGAAACCTTGACGGTTTGGGCCCTGGTTAGGACCAACAGGCCCGCTCACATCGCTGTGCTGAGAGACGCCCGATTCTCGTCTAATATGAGAGCCAGGCTGGGCGGGCAGAGCGGCCTGGGACTGAGGAGTGGAGGCTTGTCTCATGTGGCGCTGCAGCGGGTAGTTGTCAGCAAGGGTACCAACGACGCATGGTCTATACAGGTTTGATGGGTAACTTACATCGCCATCGCTTCCAAGACTGCCAAATGTCATCGCCCCGGAGTGAGCCATACCAGAAGGAGGGCGGCCACCGCTAGCGGAAGGCTGAGGAATAGGCGAGGGAGAGTGCGCAGGAGAGGGCACCCTCTGATGAGCTCCAGGGATGGGGATAGGAGCCGCGGTAGACTGAGGAGTGCTGTGCGCAACAGCGGGTGAATTGTAGCCAAATTGGATACCAGGCTTGGAACCACCGACGGGGCCACCGTTGGGAGCGAAGCTGTTGGGACCGTTGGCAAGAGTGACGGAGCTCTTGCGGCTGTGGTCAGCCGCGTTTCCGTTCATGTTCGAGGAACCGTGGGCGACTGCTGGGGCAGCAGGCACAGCAGGAGTGATGGGGGGACGTCCATTTACAGGTGACGGAGCAGACGGCTTGGCATTTTGCGCAGAGGAGCCACCGACCACCACAGGTGGGTTGGATCCCGTCGCAATCAGCGGCGTGGAGGCTTGCTTCTTGTTCGCACCGGCAGCGGACGCATATGAAGGAGCCGAAGTCGCAGCAGAGGAGTTGGGCGCCGGGTTGGACTGGGGGCTGGCAGTCGAAGTCATATGTGGAATCTCGTCGTTGCGCGTGCGGAAAGAAATGTGCGTTGATAGAGATGCTTTTCTCGGTCGAGGAAGCGTCGGCGTCGGGGGATGATGTGTAGGTTGCGAAAAGACGACGATGTGGTCGAACTTGGCGCAACTGATACGATCGCTCGGATACCGAATCTCAGATTCGACGGAGGGGTCTTGGGGCGCAGAAATCCAAGAAGTGAATGACTGTGGTGCAATAGTTCGATCTATGAATCGTCGCTAGGATGATTCAGAGACAGGATCGGATCGGGTTATGGTCGATTCGGTCCGTTGACTGGGTTGCGAAGGACTGTTGTCGTAGATTCCTTGACGGAAGGAACGAAATATCGCTGGGCGATGGGGGGTGGGAGAGGGGAAAATACAACGATTTTCGGCCTTCGCAGCGGTCGGGAAGGAACCAAAGAAAGGTATTCCAAGCGACCGGCTGTATTAAGAAGAGGGGAGAGTTATCTTCTGAAGGGAAATACAGAAGAAACCTGCTGATGGAAGAAAGGGTCTGGTGAGGAATTATCCACCTGGACCAATTTTGGTGTTTGTGGTGAGGGAAGATTTGAAAGAGGAATCGGCCAAAAAAATTTTGGGCGGCAGATATTATGGCGTGGACCTGGGAAATCGGAGGAGTGTGAGGGAAAGACCCAGGAAGGTACCTTTCGGAGGTACCTCACCATTAAGCCCGCGCCTACGGCTCACCTAAAAGCAGATTCGATACCTCACGTCGCCTGTGGGAAGCCCAGATTCACTACCTTACCCTGTGTGAAAAAATAGTGGGTCCATAGACACCGTGTGGACGACACTGGACAGGGTGAATCACAGATGTCCACGAGAGTTGCTCTGGCAGTCGACGTCTCCCAGTCCCGTCGCCCGTTGTCCAATCCACCTCGATCTAGAAGGGTCCCATCTGCTAAGGACTCACTCATTCATTCTCTTACGCAGTATGGTGGACGGGCTGGCTTGGGCCATATCAACGCCCAGTCACTGACGAGCCAAAGAGCCATGGAGGGCAGAGCGACATGCCCTGGGCGACAGGACGGGGTGACCACCTGGACGACCAACCGCCAACACCAACACCAACACCACCAGCCCAGGACACCTCATACACAAAAAGACCATTTACCCCAGGGCCCCCAGTAGCCCCGTTTGGCGGAACGACAGTGCGTCACTGGCCATATCTCTCGCTTATCAGCACGGTAGGAGACCCGCATTTTTCACGCACAAATGACAGTGCGAATTCCTCATTGGTGAATGCTGTTCTTGCTGTTCCCTGCCCGCCCAGGCGAGTGATTGATTGGAACCCCAGACAGGCACTTAGGTACCGCGGTAAGATAGGCAGCTACTGTGTTCATCATGAGACCAGGACAGAATACAAGGTGGTGCAGGAGTGGGATAATTTGGGTGCGGTACTACGGGTGGGTAGGCTTCTATCGATATGAGGCAAGAGGAAACAAAACTCGAAGCAGTGAAGTTATTGAGTGATTTGTTTCTTTGGTGCAGCGGCAGAGGCTCGGCTTAAACCCAAAGTTTCCCTTCGCAGGTCCTCCCTCCTTTTTTTTTTTTTTTTTTTTTTTTGTCTTCCCCCTTCCTCCCCCAAATCTGCGGTCCTTCCTGCTAACAGCGCAGATGAATTAATCATCACTGCCGGTAACGGTCGGGCAGCTGCGCTGTGGTTGCCTACTTATCTATGCGTGCACTTGAAGCAAGGTAAGGTAGGGGAACAAACGCCGCCTCATGCAGAGTTCCCAGAAACCTGTCGGAATGGACAAACACATTGGTCTTTGCATCTATCTGTACCGGTTTGTGGTTCGTTGAGCAGATGAATTACAGGTTATTCTTGGATCAGCCTTCTTTCCCAGAGTTGTCTGTCCTACGGGGTGCCTGGGCAGCGGAAGCACAAGCTACTCAACTACCTTAGATACTCATGGTACCTACCTACCTATCCGTACATTACCTACCAACCTTACTGCGCAGGCGGGCAGCGTGCGAGCCCACGCCAGCCTCAAAATGCCACCTGCCTTACCGACAGTAGTCGTATCTCGCACAGATATGTATGATGAACTCCCAGGTGCTCTCCTCGTTGAGTAGGTACTGAAGGTAGGATAGATATGCCGTCTGTAGCAGGAGCTGCCATTCTTGAACGACTGAAATCCCCTAAGATCCCACGTCGTAGCATTATATGGACATTTGGCCGGGGTGCTCGCCAGTCAAAACCAGCATGCAAGGGCCGGCAACCGACGCCACCAAATCCGTGGATGTCGGGCCAGATTACTTGCATGCCTTTCCCCAAGGTCTGGTTCACCTGGGCTACCTTAGCTCGGGGTACATGGAGATACAGAGCACGAACCACCAACCTCCATTAGCAATATTGGCCTCACCTCAGTCTCTCAGGTTATCCTCAATATGATCCTTAGGTAGTGCGGTTCCAGCCCGACCATGTGCTTCAGGCCCAAGTTCCGATGGTGCAGCGGGTGTCAGTCATCGTTGAAGCGAAAAAGGAGACGGTGTTTGGTTTCCGCGTGTGTATCCTGATCATCGCCGTCCACTCTGGCACAACTCGGGTAGGACCCTTCTTTCATGGCAATTAGCCTTGTTGTTATTTTTATTTTTATTTTTATTTTCTTATTGCTTCTGTCCGTCTTGCGCTCAACATCGTAAACCATAACCGAAGTTGGTGAGGATATGTCGTCTCGAATAGTTTAATTCTCGATACTGTCTGGTAGATTGCTTTTACTGTCCCTTCCTTCTTCCCCCTCATGCATGGCCCTTTTCTTCTTATTTGCCTGTTTCTTCCCCTTTCTTGGATGCGATGTCACCTGGGCTGTGTGTCGGGAGGTCGGCAAGACTGTGTGGAAGTGCGAATTTTCAGGTCAGCCGGTGGGTCAGGTCACAGCTACGGTGCACCACAGCACCATAGGTACGGATACGTAGGTAGGTAGGTAGAAAATTCAGTCTTTGAGGAAACTGTCGGGAGCTCAATAAGAAGTTGGAGGAGTACCCTTCCATAACGTACCGATCTGCCCGAGACCGGCAGTTTGGTATGAAGATACGAACATCAGATGTTCGTTGCCTGTTGCGCTTGTGTCTTGGACAGAGCCTCGACCACAGAATGCTACCTAGGTGTCTTACTAGAAACAGGTAGGGTTGACAGAGACAGTCATAAAATGCACTACAAGCAATCATCCCCATCCGCTATCAAGTAGGTAGGTTCCGTACGGAGTATGCAGTAGTAGAGTTGAGTTTGCACTGCAAGAGTGCCTCATCTTCTTGCCATGCAATGCCAGCCAGGAAAGATGAGAGGTGTTTGCTGCCGGGAGCGGTCTCCCATCCCAAACCTACGCCGTCACTGATAGTCTGATACTTAGGTGCCAGATGCCAGACGTCCGTTCCGGTTGCAGGTACAGGCTACGGAGCAACATCACCTCGGTCTGCAACGTGCTGCAGCTCTGAAGCCTGAAGCATTGTTACCGTTACCTGACCTATCCCCATACAGCCCTTACACGCACTCACGGCGGCACCGGGGAAGGGACAGTGAGGGAGAGAGGGACAGAGAGGAGTGAAGGGGAGGGGCACCCAAAAAAGGGAAAAAAAAAAAAAAAAAAAAAAAAAAAAAAAAAAAAAAAAAAAAAGAGCCAGCAGAACAAGAAGAAAAATTTAAATTGCTCTGGAGGTCGGTTTCAAACACGGACCCTGGATAGTGGACAAGGAGCAACACCAGAGTCGAGCAGGGCTGGACAAGGGCACCCCCAAAAACCACTACCCTAGTCGAGCTCACACCCCTGCAGATGCCGGGCTTCACGGAGCGGCTGACACGTGCACTTTGCCATCCATCATTGTCCTCGTCTTCTTTGAAGAGGTCTTCGTAGACCAGACTGCTCTGAGCGACTACCTTATTCCAGGAAAATCGTCATCGCTGCCATGGATATTTGCAGAGTACTAATCCCAATCCGATCCCAACTGGACAGCGGACGGGCTATTCTGCAGAGTACACGGCTTTCGCTGTTGCCACCGTAGCCATCGACTGGGTAGGTCCGGAGGCGATAGCAGTCATACACCCTCGCTTACAGTGTCCGTAAGCTCATTTGAATGACTGTCGGCCGCTGATCCTGATACGACAGGCTATGGTCTGATCTTGCTGGTGTTCTCACCCGTTGACACGCCCAAAAGAATTCCCCATCACTACGCCCCAGGTCGGCATCGTTTTCCCGTCAATCACCCATCACACGTGTCGACGCGTCGAGATGGGTAAATGAGAGCACGGCCTACAAGCCGAAGGAGATGAGATGGGACTTCCGACGGGCCTGCACGACTGCAACGGGCACCCACACGCCGAGCTGCTTACATGTATACTCCGTCTTAATGCCTCGTCTTGCGAGGGATCTGCGATATGCCAAGGTACCTGGTCCATTGCCCAGGCAGGTACCAGACCCTGGTACATTTGCCCCAGATCGCAGACGAGACCAGACCAGACGACACAGACCATCTGTGTAGGACGCTAACGGTTCTACACTATGGAAGTTTGCTCGTGGTTGCTCGTGAACCAGACACCCTACAAAACCAAAGGGACTAATGCTTAAACTGAGGAACTTAGGACCGGGCTTGGATGAAAGGGGCCGCGGAACGGGAGTTGTCGAAATAGCCAAAGTACGGCGCGCAAAGTGATCCCGTCGTTGAGGACCAATTTCTCATTCCACCGGTTAATTGATTGCATGACGTACTGACACGACATAGCGTGGTGGTCGTCGCGTCCCAACATTACCATCGCTCCAGTCAGCCCCATTAGCTACGTCCCGCTAGGTAGGCACTCTTCGTCTTGTCGTCCCTACGCTCTTGAAGTGCGACTCGTCGATGATTTGCCAGTCGTTCTCGCGGCGTCTTTTTCCTGCGTTTCCATTAAAAATATGGCCGATTGGTGACGAGTCACGCGTGTCAGACGCGTTGACATACATAGTTTAGGTAAAGAGGTTTCCACATCGGTGGTT